AAAAAAAGTAAGCGCCACAACCCTATATAAGGATGAGATCACTAACAATCCTTAAATTATCAAGAGAAACTAGGACAAACAACAACTTACATTTACAAGCAGTCAACTGCGTTGAATTTATATGATCCTTGTGTATCTTGAGCCGGCAATCTGTAAGAATCAATGCTATTTGTGTACAATTCTGTAGAGCAGTAGCGCAATAAGACTAAACGAACTTACTCTTGCACTCATAGGCGGGAGCTGGTCGTAAAAGACCGGAAAGGTTCTTATGGCAAATGTCACAATATGTGCTTACATGGAATGTCAACTCTTGGAAGTCGTGGTTTTTCCATGTTTCCTAAATGAAGTCTTTTTTTTACCTAAATACTGAAAGTAGAAAAAAATAAACTCGAATCAACAAGTGAAAACTAATAAAGCCGGAAGAGAAGTTAGAACTATTACATCTTTCTGGGACATCGAGGTAATACTCAAGTCATTTGTAGAGGCATTCCGGCTTGTGGATCCATTATCGCGGTCGTCAAACATTATCTGGAAATAATCGCAGATCCATGAACGAGATGAACATTACGTCTTCAAGAAAACATTAATCGCTTTTCTAATCGACAACCAGGTCTAGAAAAAGTTCAAGAGAAAGAAAAGAGGTATAAATTAACCCACATGGAATATCCTGCGAATTTGTTCCGCATCAGCTACACGAACGTCAGCAGCCGTGACAAGGCGAACGTGGCAAAGTTGACTGAATTTCAAGGTTGGCAAGTGTATGCAAAAGCAAAGAAAAACAACAAATAACAAGTACGGAGCACTTTCCAAACAGTCGATCATTTACTTGAAAATGAATGGAGAATGAAAGGCAACACAACATTAGACAAAAAATGTTCAGTGAAACTAGAACTCCTACCGTGTATCAATGGACATCACGGCGGCTGAGTGTGGCTTCTCGTCAGGGAATAGTTGGAATGCAACATGATTCAGCACAGCATAATATTGTACCCACTGGAAATGCTTAAGTTGTAATATAAATGGTCAAATATCCATGAATATGCACTCACTTTCAGTTTCCTACTTCCAGCACTTCTCTTCTCAGGTTTCATAGATACCCACCCAGCATGTGGTAGATTACGAATAGCGTGAGGGATACTGTCACGAGAATCAACAGATCTAAGAAAAAGTACTAGTCATCATTTATTAGCACGCTACCATGGCATTAGAACACATACCTTGTGTCATCTATAGTTCCATCACGCCGTCGTCTTATCTCATCAAGCTCTTCCTTGAGCTCTCTCAATTCCATTCGCAAAGCGTCATTCTCAAGTTGTTCATCTACCAACTCTTTCGTCATATCCGTCATCATCCTTTCTTTATCGCTGAAGAGCTCGTCTATCTTGGCCAACAAACGACGGTTTTCTTGTTGTTGTTGGATCTTAAATTGTGCCATAACTCATGAAAAATTAAAAGATACATAAGACGACAAGTTGTTCTAAGATTGCAAAAGAAATATTGATAGAAACGCTATAAGGTGAAAAAGCTAAGATGTATCAAAGGATACATGGATGGCATAAATAAGAAGAAACTCACGATTTCTCTATCCTTCTTGAGTAGATCTGATCTGGTTATATGCTGCTTACCGCCTCTCTTATCTATAACTCGTTTTGCCATTTCCTCTTCCAATTTCAAGATGACGGCTCTCTTAGACATCTTTTCAAGATCTAGCTTCCTGAAAGAACAGGTGAAGAACAAGCTTAGTCGCTTAGCTGTTGCTCGAAAGAAAATAAGTGTTGCACACTTTCTCAGATCAGCAATTTCAGCCTCAGCTTCTTCGACCGCAGCAGCTTTCTCGTTAAGGTGGTTCATAGATCGTGATAATTCAAGCTCAGATTCGCGTTCACTTAGAATAGCAATCTGCATGTCTTTAGCTTGGATCTCCTAAAATATCCATTTGTGATCATCCTCATTCGGAAAAATTCTATTAATTAGTGATCATTGAACTCTCACCTTTTCATGTCTTGCTACAAGCTGCTTCACTTCTTCCTTCAGCATGGTCTTCTCCTTGTCAAACTCGCTAACATTAGTCTCAGCAATTTGGCGTGCCAGCCGCTCGTTTTCGGCAATGTTCTTATACTGATCGGCCATTTTTCTATAAACAAGTTCAACATTTTAATGAAATGAGCTTACGCCTAAAACAGTTTGTAAAAACCTGCATAGTTTGGGATAACTGGGTGAATTTAGTAAGTTAAATAGAATGGGATTTGGAGGAAGCCGATAAGCAGTCTTAGCGAAATGTAGTCTTGATTTGGAGTTGTAAAAAACTCAAGGAAACCTACTCCCACTCCATCACAGAATTTCTTAGCATTTTCTCACGGTCCTCAGCATGCTCCTGCGCCATTTTGATCTCGCTCTGGTATAAACTCTAAATTTTTTTTT